AGGCGCGGCCCATGTGAGCGTGCCGGGCGGTTGGGGTCCCCGTGCCCCGCGCAGGGCCGCTTACCGTGCAGTTGTGAGAGGTCGCGCCGCAGGGCCAAGCCGGGCCGGGCCGGGCCCCGGAGCGCGGTCTTCAGGCGGGTGAGGGGGGAAGGCGGCCCTCCTGGCCCGGGCTCCAGTGGTACCTCGTCCCTATCACGGGCGGGAGCGCCTTGACGGCCTCGCTGGCTCTGGCCTCTGGTCGTGCCCAAGGTGACCAGGACACGGGCGTGGCAAGGTTTTGCCGGGTAGCCGTGGAAGAACGTGCCCTTATGTTGCGGGCAGGGGCAGAATAAAACCAACCCCTTCCAGATACTTCCCTCCTGCTCTTTTACAACGTTTTGGTAGCCTGGAGTCTGTGGTGATGTTATCCCTTTGATACCCTCTGAAGGTGGGTTTTTTTTTTTTGAGGGGAGAGCAGTATATTGGGTAGTTTTATTGCATGGAGATGCCTCCATTGACAAGGCTTACAGCTTGTCAACTTCCTCCAGGTCAGCTTTCTGGATGGAGAATTATGCTGCTTTATACAATGTGGCACATCTGTGCTGGAAGGAAAAGAAACATTTAGCATGTGGAGGTGTATATTCCCTGAAGTAGCCTTATTTGATAAGGATACTTCATGTCTCTAGTTTCAGTTATCTATGACAGGCTTTTGGAGATACTTTATTATCTTCATCCGTTTTTTTCCCACTGTCAGCCTCATTTTATTAGAATTATTCAATCTTAAGAAGGACTTCAGGAGTGAGTAGTGTGGGGAATATAGGAGAAAATGACCATGATCGTGGATGAAGGAGCATTTTTGTAAAATATGGACCAGACATATTAATGACTACTTCTGCAGAGCATAAAGAGCATTTGTTAGCATTGGTAGCAGGACTTCATGTGTGTTTTAAGAAACTCAGTAAGGGTCCTGGCAATACCAGGAAAATACTGATTCATGTGATAGTGGCCTCTGCAATGTATTTATGTTTAAAGCAATCTTGGAAAAAGCTGGATAAACACTGCACTATCAGAAGTGTCGTGCTGTCTCTTTTTCATATGATTCTCTTAACCTCTAGAAACCTGGGCAGCATAATTCACAAGACTGTCCATGACATTAGGTCACTTTTAGAGTTGAAAGTGCCAAGGTGAGAGCTAGCTTGTAGCTTCAGACACACATGCTGTACTGCAAAACAGCTGCAGAAATCTTCAGCTGCTTAGGGCTTTCATTTACTTCACCGTTTAAAGGGTGCTTTGGTGCATTAAATATCAGCTTGTTCTTTTGGTTCACTGCTTCTTTCTTATTTTTGACCTCTGGTAGAGTTTTAATTAGTATCATCTTTGAGGTTGCTCTCAGCTCAGCTTGATTTCTTGCCAATCACTGTTTTCACTTCAGGGTTGGTTTAGGAAACAGCAGAGTGGAACAATCCTAACTATTTCTGACTTCTGCCTGCTGTCCTGTGTGCTGATTTTTGTACTGACAGTCTCAAGGCTGAGTGGGCTGGAATGGTCTATGATCATGCTGGTGGTCTGCGATTCGTTTAGCAGCTGACAGCTGACATCTGTGTAAAGAGCGGTATGTGCGAAAGGAAGAACTAGGAAGAAGTCAGTTTTGTTGAGTCAAATTAATCTGTAGCTGATATCTGTCTGGAATTACATGATTGGTGGCTTTGTCCATTTTTGTTTCATACCTGTATAAAAATGGAGGCATTACTTTTTCATGAGATGGGAATAATGTCTGTGATAACAGTTTTCTTCACCCCTGATCTTTATATCTTCATAGGAGTGACATAGCCCGTATCCACTTACATAGATCACATATTCAGTAGTTAGAACTTGAAATATGACTTTGACTCCATTTTGAAATTTAAGTGGAACTGGAGGGAAGTGACTCCTACCGCTTACAAGCTCTTTGTTTCTATTATGTATTATGTTGTTTGCATCCATTTTCAAATCTCCCTGACAAATTGTTGTTATTTTTCTATGCATTCTTTGCTAACTACTAAAAGAAGTCTCCAGGCAGACGTATTAGGAAGAAGGAATGTGAAATTACCTGTACGTGCCACTGTAGTATGATAAACTAAACTAAAAAAAATGTTCTTCTCATTCCCTTGTTCCTCTCATTCCCTTCTCTCCCAGCTCTTT